TGAATTCTAGTCCCACCTTAGGCAGGAAAGCCAGCTAGATGATTTTAGTCCAATCACCAGGAGATGGTAAGTTCCAGTCCAGCCTTAAGGATGAATGAAAGCCAGCTGGGTGAGCCAGGAGGCGGTGAGTTCTAGTCCCACCTTAGCCATGAAAGCCAGCCGGGTGACTTTCAGCCACTTCCTCTCTGTCAGCCCAATTGACCACACAGGGTTGTTGTGGGGGAAATAGGAGGAGGAAGAGGAGGAAGGTGTTTGGGATGTGTTTGCCGCCTCGACTTATTTGTAAAAACAATAACGGTGGGATCGAAAGCCCTCATTCTATTTGCATGCATTGGCAATTTATTTATTTTTATTTGCTCTGTTTACGAGTGGCACGCAAGGTTCAAAAGGAAATAACTCCAAATAACCACAAGAATCCCTTTTGAATATCAACCCTGTGGATTTGCTGCTCTTGTCCATAAGAGCACAGTTAACGTTCCCCTCATTCCCCAATTGTTTGATTTCTTCTTTGACACCCCCATCAGTCTCCCCCTGGGCACACAAGGGACCGTAACCCAGTTTTAGTTCTTTTCCTGCTGTGCGTGTTCAGACGACTCCACGAAGTATTTATGGCTTCATCCTTTACGATGCAGAGAAATCCCTGCGGGAAATCGGGAAGAAACCCGCATTTGACACGGGGAAAAAAGGGATCCCCTGGAACACGCAGCCCTCTTAAAGCCTCTCCTTTTGACCCGATCGCCACGAGCCATGGAAGACACTGCTTCACACAACCTTGCTTTGGTTCCCTTCCCCGCCCGTCACAAACTACGTCCAGATCCCAGCAAAGGCGCCTCCCTCTTTCGATACGGCGGCCCCACCGATGGACGGCGCAAATATTCCCTTTAAAAATGTCCTTCGGATCCCAGTTGGCCGTTGTTGCATGGTGGTTAGTTCTTTCCGCCCGCCTCGCCTCTATCTGAACACGCTTTTAAGTGAGGTCAGCGACTCAAGTGGTGGGGATTTATCGGATTTATTTATCCTTCTTCTTCTTCTTCTTCTTCTTCTTCTTCTTCTTCTTCTTCTTCTTCTTCTTCTTCTTCTTCTTCTTCTTCTTCTTCTTCTTCTTCTTCTTCTTCTTCTTCTTCTTCTTCTTTCTCTCTCTCTCTCTCTCTCTCTCTCTCTCTCTCTCTCTCTCTCTCTCTCTCCTTTCCAGATTGTCTTTCTGCTCGGCTTGCTCCATCTGTCATCGGGTGACGCTTCGCTCACTGTGGGCCAAGCTATAAACGAGCAGATCCGTGTTCTTTCCTGGCAGCCCATCTATTACGCCCTAGTTAAAGACGGCCACGTTATTTAGCCAGGACCTTCTGCCTTCCGAGGGACGCAGGGAAAAGATTAGGGAAGCGTTTTCTGGCCAGCTCTTTTTCTCCCTCCCCCCCCAAGCTGGCGCCCTCCAGATGTGCGTGAGCTTCAGGCCGCTTAGGCTGATGTTGTCCCCCAGGCATCAGGAAGATGGCTGCGCATTTATTCAGGTAGTCCTCGGCTTAACGACCACCCCCGAGCCAAAATTTCTATTGCTAAGCAAGACATTTGTTACGGGGGTCTGGCCCCGTTTTACGACCTTCCTTGTCACTGTTGTTGTTAACGTGAACCCCGTCAGTTGTTAAGTTAGCTACACGGTCGTTAAGTGAAACAGGCGTCCCCCTATTGACTTTGCTTGTCCGATGGTCGCCGAAGGGGATCACGTGACCCCGGGGGATACTGCGACGGTCATAAATACGAGTCGGTTGCCAAGCGTCCAAATTCTGAATGGTCCTAAGTTACTTTTTTGACCTCCCCCTGTCCTCCTCCTCCTCCTCCTCTCCTCCTCCTCTTCTCCTTCTCCTCCTCCTCCTTCTCCTCCTCTTCTCCTGTCTTCCTCTCCCTCTCCTCCTCCTCCTCCCCTCCTCCTCTCCTCCTCCTCCAGGAGCCAATGGGGGAAGCCTGTTTCACTTAATGATCGGGTGACTAACTTAACAACTGACGGGATCAAAGGGGGTGACGTGACCCCGGGACGCTGCGACCGTCATAAATACAAGTCAGTTGCCGAGCATCTGAATTTGGATCCCGTGACCACGGGGGATGCTGCAGCGGTCGGGAGTGTGGGGGGAAAAAAAAGGTCCTAAGTCACTTTTTTCAGTGCCGTTGTAATTTTGAATGGCCACTAAACGAACCTGTTGTAAGTCGAGGACTTGCCTGTATTTAATTTCTTTTCTTTTTTTTGTAGCTGATTAGACAGCCTTGCACGTTTGAAAGCGCTTATTATTATTATTTTTTAAAAAGGGCAAGATGCCTGCCAATCCTAGCAGGCGCGCGAGTGTGAAACGCATCAAACGCCAGGTAGTCCTCGACTTAACGCCAGTTCATTTAGTGACGGTTTTGAAGTTACAATGGCACTGGGGGGAAAAGCGACTTACGACCGTTTTTCCATGCTTAACGACCGTTGCGGCATGATCACATCGGGCGGGGTGTGTGTCACGTGATCAACATTCAGGCGCTTGGCAACTGACTCGTATTTACGACGGCCGCAGCGTCACGGGATCCCCTTTTTGCGACCTTCTGACCAGCAAAGGTCAAAGGGGAAACCCAATTCCGTTGAGAACCGTGTTGCTGACTTAACCGCTGCAGTGATTCATTTAACAACGGTGGCAAAGAAGGTCGTAAAATGGGGCTAAAACTCACTTCATTGTCTCACTTAGGAAGAGAAATGTGGGGCTCCGTCGTGGTCGTAAGCCGAGGACTAACTGCACGCTGAATTTGTCGTACGCTAAATAAATGAATAAAAGCAGGGGTGCAAAGGCCATTTCTCTTGGCTGGGGGAGATTTCCTAACTGCTGTAGCCCTCACAAGGGTGTGGAAGAAGAGCAGGGTAGGCAGAATGCCCTTGGGGAGGGATTAGATGAGAGAAAATAGTAATAATAGTAATAATAATAGTAATAATAATAATAGTAATAGTAATAGTAATAATAATTTGCCTGTAAGCAAGAACTGGTGGGATCATAAAAGAGAGAAAGTCATAGAAAATGATAAAGTTAAACTGCTCTGGGACTTCAGAATTCAAACAGACAAGCACCTGCAACATAACACCCCGGACCGAACAATTGTCGATAAGAAAGACAAAAAAGTCTGGATGGTGGACGTGGCAGTGCCTGGAGACAGCAGAATAGACGGGGCGTTGTCTTACCTGAACGCCTTTTCTCAGCACGGAGATGGAGACTCCACCATTGGGTAGTAGACTGTATTCCTGCCCAATCAGATCAAGTCAGCCAAAGTTGCCACGCCCGTCCTGGACCCTAGACTCCAGTCTTTGACGCGAGCGTAGCCATTGACTGACAGCAAGACGTTGTGGCTCACCAAACTAACAGACC